GGAAGGAAGGAAGGAAGGAAGGAAGGAAGGAAGGAAGGAAGGAAGGAAGGAAGGAAGGAAGGAAGGAAGGAGAGGGAGGGAAGGAAGGAGGGAGGGAGGGAGGGAGGGAGAGAGAGGTGGAATGAAATCAGCTTTAACTTTAAATGCATCCTCCAGACACACCCCACATTCCCATGTCAGCTGACTTGGCTTGCAGAAGGGATATAAAGAGAAAAATTTAAAGTTAAAGCTGCTTTCTTTCTGTGCTCAACCCCACATCAAGCCTACCCAGGGAGGGGAACATTGGATGGGGAAGGGAAGACTGATCAGGGAGGCATGCGTCACCTTTGCTCCCCAGTTGCCCTGCTGGGAACCACACAATATGTGTGAAAGAGTTGTATGAGGCTCCGAAGCCGTAGTTTGGCAGCCCCTGTCCTATATGAACATCAGGAATTGTGGGGAGGGGGAAAATCCCCCCGGAGCCCTATATATGGAGTTAAATAAAAATTTCTTGATGCACACCCCTATGGATGATACACCTCAGATGTCAATGTCAAGTGCTTCTGTAGAATTTATATTAGAGCTTCACACAAGTGTAGGCCAGGGAGTGCTTTTGTGTGTGATAAGCATCATCAAAAATGTCATGTTTCTTTCATTCCCAAAATTCTCCAGTACAGCTAGAGAAGTGTTTCATGAACTGAGTCATTCACCCTGTTACTTACCAGCAACTGTCAATATAAAAATGATTAATGGGTGGGGGAAATCAGATGATAGAGAATGCTGGCAAAAATGCAAAACTGTTGCCAGAACTATGCACATGATTGAAGAATAGTCAAAAAAGGACAGCTATGAGTTTTGTTCCCTTATTCATTTTTATATATTACTTATTTGTTCTGTCTTGTAGAGAACACTTAAGTAATACCTGAAGGAACGTCTCTTCCCGTATGTTCCCCCAAGAGCACTACGATCAGGGAACCTCCACCTCCTGGAAGTTCCAGGTCCCCGAGAGATTAAGTTTGCCCCTACTAGGGCCAGGGCTTTTTCAGTGGCGGCTCCTACCTGGTGGAACGAGCTCCCAAAGAAGATCTGGGCCCTGCAGGACCTTATGCGGTTCTGCAGGGCCTGCAAGACGGAGCTCTTCCGCCAGGCGTTGGGGTGGGCCCCCCCACCGCCACTATCCTACCACCGAGGCTGCCCTACTAAAGGGGGGAAGGCATGGCCTGGGAGAACAGCGTAGCGGCAGACCGCGCTACTGAGATAGCTGGCCGCCAAATTTGGGTGGCTGTTCCCATCTTGGAAAATTTATATAGGTTCAGCACTGTTGTTTTAAATATTGTATTCTATTATATGTTTTATTGTAATTTATACCTCGGCTTTGCCACACGTGAGCCGCCCTGAGCCTTTGGGAGGGCGGGATATAAATCAAATCAAATAAAATAAATAAATAAATAATAGAATGTTGTTTGAAAGTGTGTGATATTCTTGTACCAGGCCAACTGACATTCCATACGTACAATAACAGCGATAACTCATTTTAAATCATTTAATTCTTTCTCCTAATTATCTGGTCTCTGCTATTCAGATCAGGTCTCAGAAGAATGATGTAGCACTTAACAGAAAAGATCCAAGCCAGTAATGCAGCACTGGAGGCCAAGATAGAGAAGACCTCCACAGCTACCATATATTTCCCTTTGGTGCTCAGGTAGGTTGGAACAAAGGACATCCAAACACTGCAAAAGATCAGCATGCTGAAAGTGATGAACTTGGCCTCATTAAAACTGTTGGGCAGCTTCCTGGCAAAGAAAGCCACAGTCAAGCTTATGAGAGACAAAAGTCCCAAGTAACCCAGGACAACATAAAACATGACCACAGACCCTTCATTACATGCTGCTACAATCTTCTCAGCCATGGAATGCATGTCTAAATCTGGGAAGGGGGGAGAGGTTCCTAGCCACACCATACAGATGCCTGCTTGCACAAGGGAGCAGGAAAGGACAATAGAGTTCGCCAGTGTCTTCCCAACCCACTTCCTCAGGCCAGATCCTGGTTTGGTGGCCATAAAAGCTAGAACCACAGTGATGGTTTTGGCCAGCACACAAGAAACAACCACTGAAAAGACAATACCAAAAGCAGATTGTCGGATGAAACAGGTCACATTGCTTGGTTTTCCAAGAAAAAGCAAAGAACAGAGGAAGCAGAGCAGAAGGGAGACGAGGAGCATGTAGGTGATATCTCGGTTGTTGGCCTTGACTATGGGGGTATCTTTGTTCTTAATAAAAACTCCTAGCACGAAGGCTGTGATCAGGAAACAAGAAACTGCAAGCAAAACTAAAGTGATTCCTAAAGGTTCTTCAAATGCCAAGAAGGTTATCACTTTGTTGATACATCCATCTTTGTCTTTGCTTGAATACTGATCTTCTGGACATTTGATACAATTAACCATATCTGTAAGGAAAGAAAGAAAAAAAACAGAAAGAGGGATCATCCCTGGATATATGAACCTGACTTACACTTAGTCAGGCCATTGCTTTGGATGTTGACTGTTATGTACTAAGATGGCCACAGCTGCACTAGCCAGGCCACGTGGTCAAGCAGGCCTTCGATCCCTAAAACAATAGCTACGGCGGATCCTAGTGCACACCAATAAGGTTGCCCGGATCCTGATGTAGACCTATTATAGACGAGTTCTTGTAAATACAGCCTATCACAGGAATTGGGTGTGTGTTGGGTATGTATGTGGACACGCATATAATCTCACCTCAGACTGGCTGATCATATATGTCCCTGTTGCAATGAGGGAATTTGCCTGGTTAGCTGTAAGGACTGGAGAGCTGCTAGTGGAAGGTGAATAGATGTAATTTGTTATAGGATTTAACATGTCTTACTTGCACACGCTATTTGATATTT